AATGGCTTTTTATGTTCGATAAATAAAAAAAGTATAGCTGCAAATGGGAGCTAATAACTTTATTTAACATTTTACATTTAATCCTACAACAATTAGAGAATTGCAATTTGTGCAATTATTTAGACCAGTAACATCAACAATGACAATATCAATAACAATAATAACAGTAACAATAATAATAGAACTAATAATAATAATAATAATAATAATAATAATAATAATATTATTATTATTATTATTATTATTATTATTATTATGAAAGCAATAACGAATGATTAGTAGAAACCAGTTAAATCAAAGCAAAAAGATAAAAAAGAACTATGTAAGCAAAAGACAAAGAAAAAACTCAGTCAAAATTACCCGATCAGTAGTTTGCTCAAATAATTTTTGTTATTTCTTCTTTTTTTCTTGCAATAAATAACTTTTTTTTTTTTTTTTGAAATGCTTTTTATATTCTTGCTTTTATTGTTACTTTTTTTCTGCTCTAATTACATAACTGAAAAAAAAAAGAGAACTTATGCAAGAAAAAAGTGAGCACAATAAGATCAAAAAATAGAGAGTACTAATACTGATTTGTTTGTAGATTTTTTGTAACAACAAAAAACATGTGAAATTATTATTGCTTTTCAACAGCAAACTTTGTTTAATTATTTTAAGAAACACTTCTAAAAAGGTGGGGAAAAAAAGAACAAACAGAAATGTTGTTTCTTCTTCTGTATTTCGTTTCACTGTTTATTTTTTTTTTTCCTTTTTCGTTTTTACAAATTTTTTTTTTCTTTTGTTTTGTAGGATAAATTTTTGTTGTTTGTAGTTTTTTTGTTTTATTTGATCACTATTTTCTTGTGGTCTGCCGTTCTGTTTTACGTCATAATTTTTCAATGTTTTATTTTCATTGTACTTTTGTTTTTTTTGTCACTGTTTTGCACCCGAACAAACCATTTTGGTTTGATAAGAAATAATTTTTAAAGGTTTCATAAGATTAATGTTTAAGAGGAAAAAAAAAGAAAAGTTTACAAATTCAATAATCATTATATAAATGTTAGGTGTTTTTCTTTACTGCTGCTGCTGCTGTTAGTGTGATTACTGCTTTTGGTTATAGCAGAGTCTGCTGCTTATTTAATGCTCTAATCTTTGTGTCTGTTAATAATTGTTGCGATAATTAAAAACAACAAATTTTGTTTTGTTTTTTTTCACGTGAAAAAAAGTGTCTTTTATCTGCAAATAATTTTTTTCTTTATTGCTTTTTTTGAGTTTTCTCTACAAGCAGAATAGCTTTTCTTGGCTTTGTTCTTTTGTGCTAAACAGTAGAATAAGAAAAATCTGCAACAACTTCTTCATCTGCTATTTTTGTTCTGACTAGTTTTGTCAACAGCTAATTCTGTTCGCGCTGATCTGTATACCATTGGAATTGGAAATGAAGAAGCATTTGATTACTGTATAAACTGTCGTCATCAATTGTGATGTTCATCTGCTGAAAATTTAACGGCTGATAATTAAGCTGATAAGAAAAAAAATTATAGCACTTGAAATAAAAACAATTATAAGTACAAATAATAAATATCATAAGCATTTTTTTCTTTTTTTTTGCTTCATTCCGTTGTTTTTTTTTTTTTATTTTCGGATTACATTTGCGTTTAGTGGCATTTTCCACTCCTAAAGTTTTTTTTTGAAATTTTTTTTGCTTTTTTTTTTTGTGGGGGGGATATCCAGTGTTGTTAATTAGTTCATCTAAACAAAAAAGAAGAAACAAAAAGAAACAAAAACAGGAAAGGATTGTTGATATCACGTGCTTCTTCAGATATTACAATTTCCTTTTTTTTTTGGAAAGGGATTAGTGCTGTTAAAGTTGTTATTTGCAGCTAAATTGCCGTCGGTATTATTGTCGCTGCAGAAAAAAAAAAAAAAAAAAAAAAAAAAAAAAAAA